ATGGCTTTAATTATGTTGAGGAAGGTCCCCTCGATACCCATTTTGGCTAGGAAAACTATTTTTTTTAAATAACATTCAGACTACAACTCAATTCAATTAGGATTAAAAGCAAGTTTACAAATCCTTGCAAAATCAGAAACACAAGTCTGGAACAATTCAAAGTCTAGCTTTACCATTTACAAAGACTCCCTAATACATTTCAAGATACTTATACATAACGTGAAAAATGTCTGGTTTAAGGGAATCAAGTCCTTCCAGAGACAGTAGTAGACAGTGGCATTTCAGCCCAGTTCATGATCTAGGACTGGCCAAAAAGGCATCCTTTGAAATGAAAACTTGACTGAGCAGAGTCACAAGAGGAGAAAAACAAAAAATCACTCTTCGCATCCTATGTCTTACTGGCATATTATAAAAATCAGTGAAATTTGTATATCTTAATCAGGGCTAGAATTTTAGAACCTAAGCTGTAAGGTCTTTTCTGTATTTATAGATGTGTGTGTGTGTTTTCTCTACTTAAATAATAGTTTTCTATTATATATTTTTTCTATAATTATATATTTATCTATAGCACAGCAGGTAGGGCGTTTGCCTTGCAAGTGGCCAACATGGCCGACCCAAGTTTGATTCCTCTGCCCCTCTTGGAGAGCCCGGCAAGCTACTGAGAGTATCTCGCCTGCACGGCAAAGCCTGGCAAGCTACCCGTGATGTATTCGATATGCCAAACACAGTAACAATTGTCACAATGGAGATGTTACTGGGCCCACTTGAGCAAATTGATGAACGGGAAGACAGTGACAGTGAGTTTTCTATTATTTATATAGATATATAAACTGCATATATATTTTTATGCTATATACAAAATAGTTTTCTCCCAGATGAATTGCCAATATAAATATGTAATCAGGGGCTCAAGAGATAGTACAGAGATAATAAGGTTCTTGCCTTGCACGTGGCAGACCCGGGTTTGATCCCTGGCATCCCATATGGTCCCCAGAGCTCCTTCAGGAGTAACTCCTGAGTACAACACCTGAGCACTGCTGTGTATGGCGCAGAAACAAAAACAAAACAAAAAAGAACAAAAAAAACAAAGTCAAAACAAAACAAAAGCCAAGAAAAAAAGAAGTGTTCAGGACTGGAGTGAGGGCTCAGGGGCACTCCAGGATCCAGCTATCCCCAAGCACCTCACCTGGAGTAGCCCCGAAAGCACCACAGGATGTGGCCCAGAAACCAAAATCATTTTAAAACAACAAAGATAAAGAAGAATTTCCTGGTGAGCTTTTCCACAATGAATGCTCTGACATAGTTTATTTATTTAAATAGTTTCCGAACTTCTCTGGAAATTCATATCGTAACAAGTTAGTTAAGCTAAAAGATGGAAATTCTTTGAGTATCTGGATCATTTCCAAATAAGATAAAATGTAACACTACTAAACATATCTTTATTCACTTTTGGCTCCTCATTACAGAGAAATAAAGATGTCTGGGCCTATCAGTAACCATATCTTGGGCTGGCAGTGAGTAGGGTGCTTGCCTTGCATGTGGCTGACCTGGGTTCAATCTCTGGCATCCTATACGATCCTCTGAGCCTCATGAGGAGAAATCCCTGAGCACCACTTAGGTATGGCCCCAAAACTAAACAAGAGAAAAAAAAATTTACCTTGTCCCACATTGAACATCTCCAGGCCTTTGAGTGGGTTTTTTTCCTTCTTTTATTTTGAGTTAAAAAAAGTCGACTGATACTGAATTTTCCTAATTGCTCTTGCACCTGGGCGATGACACATCAAACTAACATTCCCGTGTTGTCTCCCACCCTGTCTTGGAATTCTTGAGAACTGTTTTGCTCAGGGCCACACCTGCTGGAACTCAGGGGCTTCTTTCAGCTCTGGGCTCAGGGCTAGCTGCTGGCAGCACTTGGGGGACCAGGCGGTGAGGGAGGGTGAGCGCAGGCCTCCCACATGCAAAGTATGTGCTTTAGCCCACGGCGTCATCTCTCAGGTCCAGTTGTTTTTCTCAGTAAAGCCTAGTTTTGGAAGCCCATCATCTGTCCATCTGTCTCTCTGAGTATCAATGCATTTATTTCCAAACAGGTAATAAAGTTTGATGATCTTTAAATTTGCCACATTTTTTGTCTCTCAGAAATAACAAAGGAGGGACTCTGATGTAGAGTAATCCATCGTGTGGCATTAAGTGAGACTCTGGGTTTGATCCCCAGCACCACAGAAACAAAGGAACACGACAACAAAGGAATCACAAAGCTTGGAACTGGATCCCGGGCCCTTTCTCCCTTGCTTGTGCCCTTTGACCCTTGCTCCCCACCCAGTTCAGAACAAGGCTTGTGCCTCACATGCCAGGCCTCGGGGCCCTGCAGCTGGGGAAGCACACTCCAGCCACAACTGATCTCGGTGTGTCTACCTTCTTCCGGGGATGGGACTCCATTGCAGAGCACTGACCTTGCATGTCTGAGACCCTGAGATCGAAGCCTGGTACTGCAGGGTTTTCTGAGCACTGAGCACAGAGCAGTCCCTGAGCATAGCCAAGTGTGGCTATAGCATAGCCCCCCACCCCAAAAAAAAAACCCCACAGAAAGCAGAAACTAGATGCTAGTCCTGTCTGCCCATCAGTCACTCTGCCTTTCGGAGAGCTACAGGGATTTCTTTCCCTCCTTCTACAGAGCTCTCCGTTCGTCTTAGGAAGTTTGAAGCTCACTGGCTATCTGTACAGTAGCACTGTCTGCACCGTGCAGACATGGTGTCCCCACTCCACACCCCAGTCGGATGGTTTTTCATAGGAAACATCACTAGTGCTTAAAAAATAACGTTGGGGGGGGTGTTTGGAGAGATAGAATGGGGTTACAGCACTTGTCTTGCATATGACTGAACCTCATTTAATTCCCAGCAGAAGGTGCCCTTACCAGTGCCCAGAAACAATCCCTGAAAACAGGGCAGGAAGAAGACCTGAGCACAGCCAGGTGAGGGCTTCCCCCCTTTCTTAATTGTTATGGTGGCCAGAACTGACACTGCCAGGGGGCTTTGAGGATAGAATCTGGGCCTCATACGATGTCTCCTTAGACCGCACCATGGTGCTCTGCATCCCTACCTCCTAAGGTGGCCCAGAATCCTGTACATGGAACTGAGCTGTCCTCAGAAAGGAGAGGCTGGTCCAATGAGCTAAAGCAGCGCACCAATCCCCTTCTGGAACTAACGGGGCATACAACGGCTCCACCACGCGTGCCTCTGTGGCCTAGCTGACTCAAGGGGGAAAAAATTGTACTTCTTCTTTAAACACATAAGAAGGCTTAATATAGGGAGCCAGACCACAAGGGAGAGCCAGCCCAGTGATAACTTTATCTGAATGACCATCTGCACACAGAGCAAACATTTTAATTACCAAGCAAAAGTTCTTATCAGCCTATGAATTAACCACATCCTCTTCTCTCATGATATGCTCAGGATGACCTATTAGCTTCAAACGTCCAACTGGTTTCTGGAGCTCATCTTTGGGGCCCTCATACAGACATAACTTGATTTTCTGTTGATTTGTCTATAGCGATGTAATTATTAGATCAACCAAAGAACCCACAGAGGAGCCGGGGAAACATTTTTCACCCCTAAAGCATCAGGAAAGTGATGGTGGGAGGTAGAGGGGTTGGGGGAGTGCTGAGCACACCTGGCAGTGCTCAGGGGTTTCCGGCTCAGGTGTCGGGTGTGGTGTTAGGGATCGAACAAGCCTCCTGCATGCAAAACCGGCACTCAGGTATTGAAGCTCTCTACAGTCCCAGATACTTTGTTTGTCAGGGTACAAATCATGCAAGTCATCACTTAAACATTTAAGGCAGAAAAATCTTTACTGTGTACATCTGCTCTCAAAGTGCTCTTTATTTCTGTCAAAATCTAAAGAGAAGAACAGAGAACGTTCTCAAAATTCACAGCAAGGTGGTTTCTAGAGACCAAAACCAAAAATACATGGAGGGTAAGGCAGACTGGCAGCCTGTTTCCAAATTCCATTCCTGGGTAATAATAAAGCCTATTGTCTTCAAGCTAAGTCCATAATCACCTCCTGCTCTCAGGCGTCATCTTACAGGGAGTCAGGCCCAGGCCCTGCCGTCCTCACAGAGAAGCACTATGTAATTCCTGGGAGTGAGAGGGGGTTAGGGCGCAAACTGGGAACCGGAAGTTTCCCGCACTTTCTCCCTTCATTCCCATTTCTGCTGTTAGTGGTGTTTGGGTGGGGGGCCACCCATCTGTGTTGCTCAGACCCATCTCCACGTGTTGCGTCACTGGGATCACACATTCACTTGGCAGGGCACTGCACTCTTGGAGTACAGAGCTGGGGAGACAGCTCAAAGGACTAGCAGGCATGCTAACAGGAGGCTGAGTCTGATCCCCGGCACCACGGTCTCCTGCACACCCAGTCGAGAGTGACCTTTGAGCACCACCAGGTACTGATACCAAAAAACAAAACTGGAAATGGCAGCTCGTTCTCTGAGTCACATAGAGTCCTGGGTCCTGGTACACCTTAGACGAACTGAGTTCTAGAATCAAATATAGAAGCACAAATTTAGGGGTTTGGAATGATAATACAGCAGGTAGGCATTTGCCGTGCATGTAGCTGACCTGGCCTCCCATGTGGCCCCCCAAGTACCTCCTGGAGTAATTTTTTTTCTTTTTCTTTTTTTTGGGGGGCCTTTTGGATCACACCTGGCAATACTCAGGGGTTACTCCTAGCTCAGTTCTCAGAAATTGCTCCTGGTGGTGCTCAGGGGATTCTATGTGATACTGGGGATTCAATCCGGGTTGGCCACATGCAAGGCAAATGCCCAACCCGCTGTACCATTGTTCCAGCCCCGGAGTAATTTCATTTATTATCCTTAGGCAAAATATACAACCAAGTCCTAAATAAGATCTCCAATCTCCTTCCCTAGCAAATCATTAGGAAGAATTACAAATAAAAGCGTTAGCATGAACTAAAACCACACTAAGGTAACTATTTCAAAATCTGTTAGGCACCTGTTTGAGGATTTCAGGCTACATCCAATAGAAAAGCCAGCCTGCCAGGGCTGTACACAGCAGTGTTCCGAGGAGCGCCTGCAGCCCGGGTTTGGCAGAGGTTGCCCTAAGGAACCTTGGAGGCAGTACTTCGCAGCAGACATTCGTATCTGCACACAAGTTGAATCCAACCTTGGGCTTGAAACAGGGATAAAAGCACCTTTGGAAAGTTCCAATGTGGACCATAGAGTCCAGGGTCCACAAGGGCCAAGCCTGTGGCAAGCTGCAGAACAGGGAGCACCTGCTCCAAGCCAGATTCATGTCCCCTGGCTGCCAGCAGCCCTGCATCCCCAAACACACAAGGGCTGGGAGGTGGCTCAACCCAGATGACTGTGCATCCTGAATCATGAAACTCCTGACAAATGGCCCCTCTGCATTCCCGTGAGCCTGCCCCTTCTAAGTGTCCCTAATCCTGACCCCTCCCTGCCCCAGTAAGTCCTGCTTCCTATTTAAAAAAAATTGGGGGGCTGGAGCAATAGCACAGCAGGCAGGGCGTTTGCCTTGCACGCGGCCAATCTGGGTTCGATTCCCAGCATCCCATATGGTACCCTGAACACTGCCAGGAGTAATTCCTGAGTGCAGAGCCAAGAGTTACCCCTGTGACCATATCTAGTCAGCCCCGCCAAACATGATCCCTGTAAGCCTGGAGCATCACCAGGTGGGAGCATCATCAGGTGTGGCCCCAAATTAACTCCGCCTCTCCACTGCCACAGACAGAAAGAAAGAAAGCCTAGAAACATGGAGTATCTCCTCACAGCAAAGAGAGCTCCGAGTCAACTCAAAAATATGGGCAAGGAGGCAGGTGGGCAAGGGACTCCCCAAGAGCAGTTACCCCTTCTGTGAATGAGGCTCACAGGCAAAGCAGGGACCATAAAATGCACTCAAGCCGCCTGGTCCTTTCAGCCTGACCCAAAACTTCAATATCAGAAACAGAACAGTGAACCGTGTTCCTGGAATAAAAGCGAGAGAAGGGCAGCACTTCTCGGGGACAGGTAGGGAGGGACCCACCAACCTGTAGACACACCAGCTGACCTTCCCTGTGGGGCCCAGGGCCCCCGCCACCAGGCAAAGTCCCCTCTCCAGCTCTTGGGCAAAGCCTTGGATTTTTATTTTCCCAGACAACAGTACAAAAGAGCACCTGAGGTTTAAATGAGTGCCAACAGTTCCTTTTTTTTTTTTCCTCCCTAATAAGCTCAATGAATCAGAAAGCAGCAGCTGCTACTCACGGAGTTGACTTGTAGGAGTAGTCTGGGTAGGACGGCTTCTCGTTCATCTTCCCGTTGACAGAATAGGTCATGGGACCGTCCACAGTCTCCACGTAGTCAGACAGCGGGGGAGGCATGTCCTGGGTGCCCGCAGAGACGTTTTTAACCTAGAACACAGACCCATCAGATATGGTAAGCTATTCATTCTGTAATTTTTCTGTTTTGGGCATTTTGGAGGGCCACACTGGCAATGCTCAGGGGCTACTCCTGGCTCTGAGCTCAGGAATTACTCCTGATGGAATCAGGGGACCATATGGGATGCTGGGGATCGAACCCAGGACAGCCACATGCAAGGCAGGCGCCCTACCAGCTGTACTATTTCTTCAGCCCCTTATTCTATATTAACATATTATATAAGAACATAGTGATTACATAAATATTTTTAAAATATATAGATTAATTATAAAAATATTTAGATTAATATAGATCTTAATTATGGAGCAAGGAATAGGAATAAGTCACAACAGAATTATTCAGGGACGCTGTCTCATTTGCCAAGACATCAAAAATCAGATGGGCTGGACACGTAATGAGGTTTACAGACAACCGCTGGACTAGAGCCATTACTGACTGGATTCCACGAGACATCAAAAGATCACGTGGACGCCCACCTATAAGATGGTCAGACTTCTTCGTCAAGACCCTAAATGATCGGTTTGAGGCTCTGCATGTTCCTAGAACGAACAGATACCATTGGGCTACGCTAGCACGCAACCGGGATGAATGGAGACGTTACTGGCACCCGCTCGAATAAATCGATGAATAACAGGGATTAAGTGATTAAGTGATAAGTGATTAATAATTTTGGATTATTTTCTGGGGGAATGACCCCATGCCCAAATTATTTTGTTTAGATCTAAAGGCTTTTGGGTACATTGGTGGTGGGAAATGTACACTGGTAAAGGGATGGGTGTTGGAACATTGTATGACTGAAACCCAATCATGAACAATTTCATAACTGTATCTCAGTGATTCAATTTTAAACATTAATTAGATAGCACAGTGGGTAGGGCATTTGCCTTGCATGCGGCCGACCCAGGTTCGATTCCCAGCTTCCCATATGGTCCCCTGAGCACCGCCAGGAGTAACTCCTGAGTGCAGAGCCAGGAGGAACCCCTGTGCATCACCAGGTGTGACCCAAAAAGCAAAAACAAAACAAAAAAAAACCACAAACAAAAAACAGCTCTGAAGACTTTATATTTTGCTTCTGTGTTTTCTTTTTGTTTTGGGGCCACACTGGTCAGTGCTCAGGGCTTGGGGAACTGTGTGGTGTCAGGCACAGAACTTGGGTCAGCCACATGTAAGGCAAGCTGTCCCCACTGTGCGATCCTCCAGTCCCTGATCTCAGGGTTTTCACTTCAGGATCCAGCATCTCCAGGGTCTTGCTAGCATCGAGTGGGGACTGAGTTGATGTGCTATGGGGGTCACTGCATTTACTGTGAAAACAACCTCAAGAGGAGGTAAGTGGAGGAGACTGAGGCTTTTTGGAATTTTCCAGCTGACAAGTTCTGGTGAGAGCCTAGAAAATTCTGATGCCCTTCTTCTTATCACCTCTCTTTTTTTTTTTCAATTTTTATTAGTGAAACACTATGAGGTACAGTTGTAGACTTTGAAATTTTTGTGCTTGGATTTCAATTATACAATGATCAAATACCCATCCCTCCACCAGTGCCCATTTTCCACCACCATGGGTCTCAGTATCCCCCCCCCCCCCGCCTCTGTGGCAGGGCATTCCCTTTTGTTCTCTCTCTTTTTTTAGGTGTTGTAAAACCTCTCTATTTTTAAAAAGTTGGTCTTAAATGCTCTACAGCCAACAGAGCATTTGCCTTGCACACAGCTGACCAGGATTCGATCCCTGGCACCCCATGTGGTCCCCTGAGATCCTTGAGCACAGCCAGGAGTAGTTCCTGAGCACAGAGGAGAGACAAAATCCTGTCCACTGCTCAGTGTGACTCAAACCCTTCCCCCACAAATTTAGAAAAAAAAAAAAGATTACAATTTGGGACCAGAGAGACAGCTCGATGGGTTCACTGCAAGTTCGCATGTAGGAAACTGGGTTCAATGCCTGGAACCCCCAAGAACCAACAGGAGTGACCCCTTAGCCCTGAGCCAGGAGCAGTGCACCAACGCCACTGACAAAAGAAAAAAAAATAAGTTGTTAAAAAGAAAATGCTACAGTTAAATAAATTTGGGGGGGGTTACATCTGGTGATGCACAGAGGTTACTCCTGGCTCTGCACTCAGGAATTACCCCTGGCGGTGCTCAGAGGAACATATGGGATGCTGGGAATTGAACCCGGTTGGCTGCATGCAAGTCAAATGCCCTACCTGCTGTGCTATTGCTCCAGCCCCATAAATTTCTTATTAAATAATTACAGAAGTCAGTTGGAGCATCTTAATTTAATTTTTTTCAATTGGCGTCATGCAGCAGTGCTCAGGAGTTACTCCCAGCTTAGGGTTTGGGGTCACTGCTGGTGGTACCTGGGGGACCATGCGGTGCCCGGGACTGAGCCTGGGGACACAAGCATGCCAGCAAGTGCTCTGTGCGCTGCCACTGAACCCCACCCCAGCCTTTGACCGCAGACGTGCCCGGGATTATGTTATTGCTAGGCATCCATCTATTTCCTCCAATCCACACCCTTCACATCAGGAGGCCGCTGTTCAGTGAAGCAGTTAAAACACTGACCTGCCTTTTTCCTGGGGCACAGCAGTATCACCACCCAGCGCCGCTTACCCACCCCTCAAAGGACAAGAGGTATTCTTATTTTTTAATAAACATCCCAGTGAGTCACAAAGGAATGGAATCATTTCCCCCCTGAAAGTGGCATTTGGCAGCATCTGGGAAAGCAGGGGGTGGGCTGCCAGGGAGTGCGCTCAGACTCCACGGCAGGGGGCACGGGTGGGAACCGGTCCTGGTTCCCTGGTTCCTGGAGAAGTCCACTCCGCAGCAACAGCTTCCCTGGAAACAGCTCTGGCAGAGCTAAAGGCCCATTCGTTCCAGACTTGAGAACTTAAAAAGATTCCTTCCCTTAAAAAGCACACCTCAGGGGCTAGAGCGAGAGCACAGCAGGGAGGGCATTTGCCTTGCACGCAGCTGAACTGGGTTCAATCCTCAGCATCCCATATGGTCCCCAGAGCAACACCAGGAATGCATGAGCCAGGAGCAACCCCTGTGTATCGCCGGGTGTGACCCCCCCAAAAAAAGCACACCTCAGGGGCAGGGGCAGATAGTGCCGGGCAACTGCCTTGCACGTGGCGGACCCAGGTCTGATCCCCGGCATCCCACAGGGTCCCCTGAGCACTGCCAGGAGTAATTTCTGAGTGCAGGGCAAGGAGTAACCCCTGAACATTGCTGGGTGTGACCCCCAAAACCAAAAAATAAGCAAAAAAAAAAAGACACACTTTACAACACTGCTCCAGACAGCTGGGGTTCTTTCCTGCCACTCTGCTCCCTCAGCAGTGGCTGTGAACCTCCTGGAATTCTTCCTGACTGGCCAATTGGACACCAAAACCTTAACCCCCAAAGGAAACAAACAAAAAGTTGTGGTATATGCACACCGTAGAACACTGCAGCTCTAGGAAAGAACAAACCAAGGCAACGTGCAGTGCAGCAACACAGACGGAGCGAGAGAGTCCCAGGATGAGGGGAGTCAGCCAGAAAGAAGGAGAGATGGAAGATGACACACAGCAAGAAAGCAACAAAGGGCGGCAAAGGGCAAAGGCAACACAACAAATGGGAAAATTGCTCCGCACAGCTGAGTTGGAGTGTGTGTGTGTGTGTGTGTGTGTGTGTGTGTGTGTGTGTGTGTGTGTGTGGTTGTGGGG